TTGCATAGGACAGAATGTTAATAAAAATCTTTCATGGTACATATCTAACTTTGAAAAGGATGCTTTCGAGATCATATTTAAAAAATATCACCTGATATTAGTTTCAAATGTACTAATTTGAAATAGGAGTGTCATGCGAATTGCGAAGATGTTAGCAGTTTAGAGCATAAAATACTGTATTATTGATGCGAAATTCTATCAATTAAGAGTAGGACTTGATTACACAAAAGCAAATTCACACAAATCAATCGATATTCACCAAAAGTATTAGAGATAATAGAAGTTGCTCGACAGAGTGTCTGTTCATGTTTTCAATCGTTTGCCAGCAAGAAAAAGCTTACCTGAAAAACAAATTCAGGCGTAAAGTAAATAAAAATTTCTCATTTTTTATTAGTCGCCTGTTACATATTGTAATCACGACATTTTTCGTGAGTACAACTCAACATTTTGAAATTATGTATTTTTATTTGTAGTTCGTCTTTAGATATTCTCTCGATGTTCAAACGCGAATATAAAATATATTTTAGCAGTACGTCATAAGTCACAAAAGCTTTAAAGAGTAGTAATTCATATTTTTATACAAGCTTTAAGTTAATTGCGTAAACTTGAATGGAATAGTTCCAAATTCTGTTTTATGCATATTTTATAGTAAATATGATTATTTGAAAAACTTAATGTTATATCATTCTACATATATTTTTGAAGATAATCTATATCTTTTTTTTAGCCATCATTTTAAATGTATAAATATCAAACATCAAATACGTTTGAACTAGTCAAATTGACATTGAACAATCGAAAGTATATTTCCAATAGGTTTCTCCCGCTCTCTAATATACGAAATTTCAATTGATTGAACTGAGTATGACGAGTCAAAAATGAATGTTCGTTGAGAAAAAATTGTCGAAGACTTCAAATTCTATTTGAGTCTATTGACGGTAGTTGTTTTTTCTCTTTATATGTGATGTTTAAAAATAAATAGCTATTTCAGTAGGAAAAGAAAGAACGACAGGTAGTTGTACACGCGGAGGCGTGTCCATTTTTCTTTCTTCCGTTCTGTGCATGGTATAAAAACAAAATACAACACCGTCGATTAAAAAAAGTTCGTAGCTTTTTACGCTGTAAGTTATATCGGATGAGTGCATTTTAAGCAACTCTTGTTTTATTTTTCTGTTCTTTTATGTTCTTCAGTAATATTTATTCATATTTTCGTTTTGTAGAATATTATTAATGCCAATCACCAAATTCGAAGATATACCCAATGAACTTCTACTATATATTTTTGAGTTTCTTGATGGTTTTCATCTTATATATGCATTTGATAAACTTAATTTTCGTTTTACTTCATTGACTAATGATGTTCATCTTCATTTTAATTTGACAAATCTTAAAAAAACTGAATTTGATTACGTATTTGATTATATATTTCCATTCAAAAATAATGTATTCTCTCTGATACTGTCAAATCGTAATACTCTCGGTCCGCTTGAAATGTTCATTGCTCGATTTCAAAATTTGATTCCACATAATCCACTTCATTATCTCAAACTTATCGATATACATACAGAAGCACTTCTTTCGTTCTTGACAGTTGTACTTCCGAAATTGATTCATCTTGTTTCATTGAGTCTTGTGGATGTTACGTTTTATCCCTATCGACGTCGGCCTATTAAATATATTAGTGAACAATTACCCTTACTCACACATGTTTCTTTATCATTCAGACAACAATTATCATATCCATCTTGGATTTTGACACAACTTTATTCAACATTTTCGACTATTGAATATTTATCATTGTATGGTTTTTCGTATGATATCACTCGTTTGCCAGACTTATTTCAACATTTATACAAAATTGAACATCTCGAAATAAAACTCGATATTGATGATGATATTGGTTGTTGGGGTCCTTGGATATTAGATTCTGTATTGATTCGAAATGGTGGACAACATCTGAGATCACTTATCATACAAATTGAATTTCGTTTGTTATTTGTAGAAATTGCATCATTCTTAAAATATTTTCCTCAATTAAAAAATTTGTCACTTGTTACACATGAATTCACACATGACATTCAATTTTATGATGGCGAAAAATGGGAAGAATTAATTCAGACAGCACTTCCTTGTTTAATTTCATTTCGTTTATATTTGAAATCGAAAAGATTTACTTCCGATATAAGTCTAACTGTTATTATTGATAAATTTCGTAGTTCATTCTGGATAAATGAAAAGAAATGGTATATTGTATGTGATAAATTCACGAATGAATTTATTCAACTTTATACAATACCTTGTCCAAAAAATGTTACTGTTACTCTTAATATAATCTCATCGAATTGGGATACAACACTTCCTTCGTTTAATTTATCAACATTTGATTCTATAACTTGTCTCATCGTAAATACTACTGAACTTCAACATAATCAAACTCCATTACCATATTTTAATAATATTAAATCACTTCATATTTTGTCACTTCCAACGAAAAACTATTGTTTATCACAACATATCAATTTATTACAAATTGAATCAGCTATCGATAGTCGATGGATACCATCACATCGATAATTGTATATGATTGAACATATTTTGTGGCATGTATAACAATTTAGCATATTTATTTATTTGTATAGATATTCCTGATCTATCTTTTTTTTTTGTTTTGTCAAAATCACAATAATCTTCTGTTTGGCCTTTTATCAGAATGACACAGAAGCACATTATCACAAAATTAAATATAATATTAGATAGAAACAATATTTTGTTCTCAACTAAACATAATTTTCTATACTCTTATACTGAAGAGAATCCATAAGTCACTCCTGATGGATTACATGAATTCCTGCTCGATGCAAAACTTCGATGACTTTTTTGGCCCATGTTTTAGTGCTCAGCAGGACGACATAGAAATGGTATGGTCTTTTGAGATTAATTATACATTGTATGTAAAAAATGCCAACGTAAAAATCGAAGTGCTCCATAAGACTACCAAGCGATGCTTCTCCGATCTACTCCTAACTAATCAGTGGCTAGTATTACTTCTATTTGTTTTGTTGCATATGACTAATTCACATTGACCGGTACCTGTGCTACAGACAAGTACTTTTCAATAAGAATGCATACGACTAAGTACTATGAAATGTACCAAATATTCATAGAAATAAGGCTTTTTATGAGAATCAATGAGAGGAATTTGGGATTGATTGGAAAATTCCTTGGACTGAAACTGTAACATTTAGATTTACTATTGACATTGAACATTCTCAAAAAGTCTATGTATTACAATTGAGTTGGATAGGAAGGAGTACTAGATTTTTACTCGTACTTGATGGAATCTTGTGTTGATGATTAGAAAAAAAAACAATATGCTAATAAAACTGCAATCAGTGACGTTTTGTTCAACTATACTAAAATTACTCTATTGACTGCTTGTCGAAAATAAGCTCGATGAAGATCTTTAGTGAATAGATAATTTTTATTCTTCAAAATTTATTCAAACATATCTTAATTGAAACAATAAAATAACTAGAACAAATGGATAAGTGTACTCTAGCCGTTGACCATGGCTTGTTTGAGAGGTCGTAGATGACAACTG